AAAAAATGGAAACAAAGACTTTGCAAATAGGGAAGGGTGGAGGGGGTGAAGGGAGGGCAGGGGAAGGGGAAAAAGTAAGATCCTAGATACTCATGTAATGGTATAAGATCCCAATGATGTATGTAAATTTAATTTATACCTAAAATGTACCAACAAACTTAATGGGTAAAAAACCTTCACACAATTGTATTCATTTTACAACCATAAAACAAGAAGATAAAAAGTCCATATCAGCAGCAGCACTAAAAATGAGACAGGCTTTAGGGAGCGGCTGCACCGAATGTGGGTTGAGCAGGGTTTGCTGGATTGGGGGCTGGAACGCATGTCCTGAGCCTGTCCCAGGGAGGCCAGCAGGTGTGAACACTGGTGCTGCTGTGCCTTCCTTCTCCCTGCTCCAGGGTGCCATGCATCCTGGCCAGCCAGTGTCCCCCCAGCCCGTCCTTCTCACCCAACTCTCCTTCATCAACCATATCAGAAGGCCTTTGGAACCACATGCCTGTCACATTCCTTCAATGCAGCAGAAAGCTTGCAGCATCTGGCTGTGACCCAGGAAGACCTTCCTTTCCCATGTTCCAGGAAACTGTTGAAACATTACCAGGCTGTCACCAAGCTCTGGCTGATATTTGGGTTTTCCCCTGACAGTGGTGCTCAAGCAAATACAAATGGAGGGCCACACTGCTGTGGGTGGAAAGTGGCACTGTGAGTCAAGGAAAGAGGATCAGTCCCACCTGTCCCTATTAGGCTCAGAACTTGGGGAAAATCTGTCCTTGATGAGGTTCACCACATCTGAAGGCTGCTGGGACTGGGTGCCTCAGGTTGATGACAGGTGCAAACATTCTCACATGCAAACATCTCTTTCTTCTTTTGAGAATAGATTGGCCCAGCCTTCTAAACATAGACTACATTGAGAAAATGCAGGAGGGCACTGTGCATGTGGTCAAACTCCACTTGCAAAGCAACCATCCAGATGACACTTTCCTTTTCCCCAAACTCCTCCAGAAGCTGCCAGACTTGTGGCATCTGGAGACAGAACATCCCCAGCTCATGCAGGTCATCAAGGAGACCGAGTCGGAGGCCACACTGCCCCTGCTGCTACAAGAGATCTACAAGGAAATGTACTGAGGCCCAGCAGTATGTGACAGCAGCCATCCTGCAGGGACATTGAACACCAGCAGCACTACAGAGGAAGAAATGGAGCAGCTCAAATGTGCACCCTTTAACCTTGGAGATGGTAAATTTGTCCTGCAGTGGTCCTGGTGGCAACCAGCACTCAGAGAGCACATCTGCTATTCAAGTGTTGCTGCTCAGGAGCAAGGAAATTAAGGACAATCATGAGCGACAGTCTTATTCTAACTCACCCTATATAATTAGTTCATATTTCTTTATATCACATGCATATTTACCATTTAATTAATGGGCAACCTCAAGATACATGGTCTGTTCCCTTTCAACCACCCCCTTTGACTTTTATGCTCCCTCCTGATGTGGAAAACTGATCACCACTTTTTAACAACTTTTATAATCCTATAAATCTAGATGTAGCCAAAGGTTAGGTATTTAAAATTCAGCATAATATTTATTTGGACAATATCAATTCTGTTTCCTGAATCTGAAGAAACAACAGACTGTGTTTTAATCATAAGACAGAATTTTCAAGAACAGTTTGATAAGCTATTAGATCCCTGGTACCAAAATAAAATGCAGCCATCATGTTGTTTTTTCAGTTCACAGTTTTTGTGGTCCCAGGTAGTTTGTGGCAAAACCCATTCTGAGGCTCCTGTAGAAGATCCCAGGGAAGTCTGTCCCAAGTCCCCCTCTGGTTGTTTTAAGTTGTGACTCAGGTAAACAGAGTCAGGACAAAACCTTTTTCTTTCCTGCTTAGTTCTGTTCCTCTCAAACTGGAAGCGACTCAGTCAGGCTGCCTGGAGGCTGCGTAGTGATTTTAGGGCCAAGCAGAAATGATTTCTAAATGTTCCTCTGGGCCCTCTTCCAGTGCTCCTTTGTCTTTCCCTGTGTTGCCTTTTAAATGTGATGCTTTATTGTTAAGTCTCTCAGACTTTATCACCCCAGCTGGTGGTTGTTGGAAAACAACAGAAGAGCACTACATCCCCCAGCAGTCAGTTGTACCTACTCTCAGATTTCTTGACAGTTTTTTTTTTCCTTAACAAAGACATAGTTAGGTCTCCTTTATCCTCTGCATGTATAAGATAGTGGGTTTTTTTAACATCTAAAATAGTTTTAGCAAAAAAAAAAATAGTTTTAGCCCTAAAGATCAACTTTCCAACCTCCATAAAATTGGGAAGCAGTGTTGATTATGCTTTTTGGTCTAGAACCTGTGGGCCTAGAGCTGTATTCTTTTTCTGTACACCTGGTGGATTGTCACATAAAGAATCTTCAGCAGTGACCCTCCTACCCTGCCTGGCTGGTCTGATCTGCCAGTGTGTCTGACACCATACAAGGTGCTGGGCACTTAGGTCCTGATTGTCTTAGGTGCCTGCCTTCCTCCCTCCCTTCCTTCCTTCCTTCCTTCCTTCCTTCCTTCCTTCCTTCCTTCCTTCCAGATCCAAAGGACCTGTTGTTCACCAGCAGCAGCAGCAGGGACTCTGCCCAAGTGCCTTAAGACCCAGAAGCAGTGGACACTCTTTCCATATTGGCCACCAGTCACTGGTGAGCCTGTTTTTCCCCCAATGTGAACTCCCTACACTGAAGAGTCCCCAGGGCTAGGACCATCCAAGTGCAGGGTCCAATACCATTCTGTGTTTTTCCCTCTACCACACAGCCTCCCACTCTGACATGCACCAGACAAATGCTGTTCAGATACACTTGGCCTAGGAAGGGAGCCTCAAGATCCAGCCTGCCAGCAGCAGCATTGTTTGTCCTGTTTAAATTTTCCTAAAACACATGCACAGTAATCTCTCATGTCCTGTTCTCTGTGGTGAAGTCAAAACTACTGGTGAGTTCTACATTAGTCCACCCAATTCTCAGCATGTGGGGAGCATTTGATTCTGTTAGGGTCCCAAGAAACTATCAGTGATGTCCATAAAGAAGCCAGAAAGGAGAACATGTGAACTCAGTGTGAAAGTCTTTTGACATTATTCACTTTTAAAAGGAAAGAAAACCACAAGTCTCATGTATTTAAGCATCAAGTTCACTCATAGCCAGAATATTTGGTGTCACCTCTTTAGAGATATCTGAGGGGATCAGTACTGCAAAGACAATCAGGACCTAAGTGCCCAGAGCCCTGAATGGTGGCAGAGACACTGGCAGATCAGTGCCCACCCATCTGTGATGAATGTGGAATAGAAAGAAACCTAGGATTGGGCACATCTGAGAATGCTGAGAGAACCTGCCCTGTCTTAAATGGATTTTCTCATCCTCAGATCTAAGAAGGTTCCTTTCTGCTGTACCTTTATACACTGGGCTTTTAAGACCCCAAAGGACCAAACCATCTCGGGACTGAGTAGGGGTTCAGGGAGGGTGCAGCATTCCCCAGAGAGAGCAGAAACCCAAGGTACAAGCAGGCTATTTGGCAGATGACAAGCAAACTTTAATTCAGCAACTACCTTCCTCCCCAACATACCAGCTAACAGCTACCTCAGTCAGCATTGCAAAGGAACTGTTAGAATGAAGGCACACAAAACCCCAGCCTTTGTGGTGTTCCTGTGATCCAATTTTCACTGTTAGGGGTTTGGGGGCACACATTAGGTCTGGCACCCTTTACTTGGGAGATGGTGGCTGTGGGACTTTCCAGAGAAGCTCTACTGTTGAAAGGGAGCATTTTGCATAAAATGCATAGGTGCAAATGTTGCTGCCCTGTCCAGTGAAGCTGAGACTGTGACCAGCAGTCACACTGCAGGACCCACCCACAAGGTGCCCCTCTTGTCCACTCCTGCTGCTAGCCACACAAAGAGCTTTCCCAGGAGAGACCCTCTGATGCCAGAGAGTGACCCTCATGAAACAGTGGCACTCAGGCCCTCTGCTTGTGGCTCACCTGAATCCCTCTGTTGGACCCAGAGAAATTCCCACTTTGAGCCACTTTCAACATGGGACATCAGGCCCATTTGATACTTAGCATGGGACACAGGACAGAGGAGATTCTGTCCTGATGTGGTGGCCTCACACATCCTTGCAACAACTGATCAAACCTCAGGTTACAGACATTTCAACCAGTGTGTCTGCACTCCCCACCAGGCAATGGTTTTTTGTGGGGTGGTGGCTCCTTCATGGTTCCTCTTCTACCCAGGTGATCTTTCACACTGTGGACCCCAGGCACATGTCACATCCCACAGCTCAGTAGCTAGCTCAAATCAAGCTCCTGAAATCTCCCACCTGCAGCCCCCAAGGGCTCCACCCCATTCTGAAAGGGATATACCCAGCCTGGCAGTTTGTCCAGCTCTGCCACCTCTCTGATCTTCTGGTGACAACAGACCAGCTGTCCACCAGCTATCTGTGCAGCTGATGCCCCACTACCTGCAGTTAGCACAGCAGTCTGATGCATGTGTTCCTGTAAAATTCTTTCCTTAAAAGACCTCTTACCTTGTGGCACATACTGTCATCCCAGCACTCTGGGAAGCTGAGGCAAGATGTTTTCAAGTTTGAGCCAAGCCTGGGCAACTTAGAAACTTAACAAGACCCTGTATAAATTACTTTTCATTTTAAAAATGGCTGGAGATGTAGCTCAGTTCAAAGGCCCAGATTCAGTCCCTGGTAGCAAAAAAAAAAAAAAAAAAAAAGACTTCATATGTTCAGAACAGTGTTGTGGACTCTGGTAAGGCAAGTCACAAATCAACACTGATGCCGGGGAGTGAAAGTATCCAGGGACTGTTTCAATGCATGTGAGTTTGATGGCACAGACGTTACCAGGCACGGAGGACTGATCTTTCTAATTTTAAAAATGGTCCAGCTTCTCTCCACTTGAGTGGACTGTGCTGTGCCAGTGTTCTTGGCACCCATGCCTCCAAGGACAGCAAAGGTGGAGGCTGCCAGACAAGCTGCCCTCAGATGTCACCCTACAGAAATGAAGGTCCACAAACACCTGCAGCAGAAAGCATGTTCTGCCACCTGCCTCACAAATATAAGGTCCCGAGTTCAATCCCTGGTACCAAAAAAAGAAGAAAGCACAGAGAATCTTGGCTCTGAGGAGCTGAGGGAGCATGAGGATGAATCAGTGCAGATTCAGCTGTGTTGATGCAGGCGGGGGACATTGTAGCAAGGGATCATGTCATTGGCAGCAATCATCAAGCAGCCTTTGCCAGACTACTACTCCTGAGAGGCCCTCTGCCTGCAGAGATTTCAGAGTAAGCTCAAAGGAGGTTTGCTGGGATGTCTAAATATATACTGAGGTGCCAATTTACAGGAATTCAGAAAAACACTCATCAGCCCTCAGTCTGCAAAACAGGATAACCACCAGAGCACTAATTTGGTCAGACTCAGAATATAGTGGACCATTATATCTCTTTAAAATCCACAATCACACTAAAATGTAGAATTGGAAGTTTTTTTTTTAAAAGGCAATGAGTCTCCCTCTGCCTTCAGTCTAAATAACTACACAGTGGTCCCCATCATTCCCCTCTAGTGGGATGCAGTAGGCTCATAAACTCTGTGTCAGCAGGTGGGCTGCATCCTCTGTGTCCCCATATGAAGGTAGAGAAGTACAGCCCACAGCTGGTTCCAGCCCTGTCTGTTGCATCCCAGGCACTGGAGGATGGTTTCACAGAGCTGGAACCCTCTGTCAGATGACCCTGTGATTCTCAGGATTTGGGGAGATATGAGAAACATCATTGCTACTTCTGCCCACCCCCAAAAGCATCCATTTAGTGAGGGAGGAGTGGCAGCAAATGCGCTCCATGGTGCAGGTCCCATCTGTCCAGAACAAATCAACCGGATCCACATTCGGTGTTGGACCTGATGATCCAACAGACAATGCCAAATACTTCAGGGGGCCCTGGCTATTAGATGCATTGTTTGCTTTAAAAAAGCAAGAAAAAAACTTGCTAGTTTGAGTCAGAAGTGAAAATCATCCATGTTTTTCTCTCGAGAAGGGAATATGCTGGCCACTTCTGCTCTTAACCTTCTTTTGCCCCTACGCAGCATCAAATGTTCCTTCATCAAGTTCACTGATAGAGTATCACACAAGCTGGCACCCAAGACCTAGCAGGAAAAGCAGAGGGGCATGCGGGCCTCTGAGTCACCTGGTCTATAGGGGGTGCTCTTGGGCACCTGGATGGGAGGTGACCTACCCAGGCCTGTGCCTGAGTTAGATGAGGGCCATCTTCAGGCCCAAAGATTAATAAATGACTGATCCTTTTCTGTAAAATCAATCCCTTTTGGAAAATTCTTATTTTTAAAGGCACAGTCAGTTCCTTCTCAGGCCTAAACAAAAGGTACCTCACAATGGATGCAAACCACATTGAACACTTTTTGTAAGATTACAGTGTTATTCATATTTTCACTTCTTTTTCTATACTGTATGGTAAAAAGAATTAAGTGAATAGCTTTATCTTCAATACTGTGATTTGAGTTTTTAAAAACCATCCTAATACAAATAGCTGACTAATTTTCAATCATGTATCTAATAGCTAAATGTGAATTAGTGGATTTTCAAGTCAGTGTTCATTGTGCTTAAAGCCTGGCTCTTGAACTTACCAGAAAGAGGAAGCTGAGCTCAAACAATGGAGACCCAAGGACATGTGGGT